ATGGCTATAACTCCTTAAATATTCACTTTAGAGCGTTTTTAGCTATTATTTGTGATCACTTTTTTAAGTGTGAATTATTCAATATTTTAAAATGGCCATAACTCCTTAAATATTCACTTTAGAGCGTTTTTAGCTATTATTTGTGATCACTTTTTTAAGTGTGAATTATTCAATATTTTAAAATGGCCATAACTCCTTAAATATTCACTTTAGAGCGTTTTTAGCTATTATTTGTGATCACTTTTTTTAAGTGTGAATTAATCAATATTTTAAAATGGCCATAACTCCTTAAATATTCTGGAATAATTTTAACAGTTGTCGGACGAGTAGCTGGGAAATGACAGCAGTCTGAAGTTGGTTGCAGTTTTTTCATATCACCCTGTATATATAAGAAGGTGAATTAAATTGGTGAATTTATGGACGATTTTGGATAGCAGCTGGGGTATTCTCACAGAAAATCTCTCCGCTCGTCTGAGGGTTAAAATAATTAATTCTGTTTTTTTTCTAATTTTTTTGTCAAAAGCTTTATTTACTCAATCTTTAACTTCAAATCAGACAAAGCGAAAACAAAAACAATTATTTGTTAATACGAGATCCGGTATTTATTGTGTCAAATTATTATTTTAAAACGAAATGAAGAAAAACTCAAAGAACCCAAAGCCAAAGACCTTGTTTGCCAAACGACTACTTTATTACACATGTGAAGATATTGTAAACAGCATTGGGAAGGTTTACACAACAACACCAATACTAACAACTTAAGGTTTTGAATACCCAACAGCCGGTATTAAACAGAAAACAAAAACATAACGAAAATTAGAATTATGATTAATTCAAAAATAATTTATTTGTTATTCATATATTTTCCAAAATTTAAAATACTCCACATGTAACCTAATTGCGCTAGCCATTGTTGTTGTTGCTATTGTTAAGATTCGGGGAGTTACTAGACCATAGTAAATTCATAGAGTGCAGGTTACCACTTTTATTCTTTTGTTTCGATGAAAACTCTTCGTTGCTGTTGTTGTTGTTGCCGTAATTACTTGGCCAACCAAGTTGTTGCCACCGCCACCGCCACCGCCGCCGCCGTCGTCGATTTGGGTTCATGCCGTTGCCATGGCTTTTTGACTTCAAAATGAAATAATTTTGCAATGATAGAGCACTTGAGCTACAACAACAAAAAAGTGGTTAAACTTTTAGAAGGTAACCTCAAGATATTTAGAAGAGATTAATTCAAGAAAAACAACTCTAAATGCGGGTAATTGTAACCACGTCGAACGACGTGTTTTACTTAATTATTATCTGTATTTAGTTAAAGTCTATTTATACCACCGGTGTGTTAGCCATACGCTCTTAAGATGTAATTGGAATTGTGAAGAACCGTTTGACTTTCAAGGCAAGAGCGGAATTTATATTGATCTAATGCTTCTTTCTATGGGATGACTTTTTGATGGATTTACAGACTAATTCCTCGTTTTATGAGCTTCGTGGATGTTCAATATTTTTACCCTTTGAGGTAGTGGGTAGGAAAGGAATCGACTGATATATTCCATCTTCATACCAGACCTCGGGTCAATAAAAATATTGAGATGTGTGTAATTTGAAGACAATCGGATTCTTACATCACATTTTATAAGAGTAATAATTATTTAAAATTTTGAGGTACTTGACGGAGTAGACCTATATTGTCCTTTTTCGCAAACTGCAGTAGCCCTGATGGAAGTATTAGGATTTACAAAGTTGGAGCAAAATCGGATCATTGTTTTTCTTTCTGTGCTGTAAAATATTTTTTTTGTGAAAATGTCGACCTTTTTTTGGGGGAGGTACCAGAAGCAGTCGACCGATATTGCCCATCTCCCAACTCGATATAAGTTTGATAATAATATTACGATGTACCAAGTTTGGGCCAATTCGGATACTCCTTCGAGTGTTATCGAGCGGACCAGCCAGACAGACAAAGAGATCTGGAGTCTAAAATCTTTATTGCGATGAGTCATGTTTTGGCCATATCAAATGATATATACCCTATCTAGCCATATAACTGAGGGTTTACAGGGTGAAATGAAAGAACGGCAACAAAGTCAAACGTCATAATTTTTATATTTTTTTTTAATTTTATTGAATGAAAGCAAAAAATATCGGAAATAGCATCAAATTTTAGAATAAGTTTAGATTTGTTCGAATTTGTCACCTTTGGCACGAATTATGACCTTCAATGTTGCTCTGCGGTATTTTGGCACATTCCCGGCGAAACGCTTGCTTGAAGTGATCGACATTTTGGTATTTTTTACTGCCAATCGTGCTTTCCAAAAAAACTCCAGACACAATAGTACAACGGATTGGTATTCGGAGATTTTAGTGACCATTGTGGGCTGGAAATGAAGCGGGAACATCATATTGTAACCATTCTTGGGTGGCGCGTGCTGAGTGCTGTTGGAATGTCCAAGGTCTGCGGCCAAAATGTTTGTGAACCCAAGGCTTTAATAAACCTTCCAGAATATTTTCGCGATAATATTCGGCATTTATTCTGATGCCACGGTCGATTAATATGAGCCGAGAGCGATCATTGGCTGTTATGGCGGCCAAAACTTTGGTCAAACTTAGCTCGATTTCGGTGGGCAACATCGGTTCTCTCCTTACCCCACAAATGGTCAAAATTGTCGAAGAATATAATTTACCTCATAGAAAGAGAAAGGATAATTCGATTTAGTGCAAACATTGTAAATCATAATATTTGCAACTGTGCTATGTCAGGTGTGAAAATGGACAATATCGCCCCACTCCATCAAGTACGTGGGGGGGTTTAAAACTTTGGAATAAATATATCTCTTATAAAATGCGTCATTAGCATCCGATTCTCCTCAAATTTCACACAACCCAATATTTTTGTTAACACAACTTCTGGTTTTGAAGATCCGATATATCGGACCAACCCTTCTTGTACCTCCTCCACAAAGGGGTTACAATTTTTGGATAACCATGAAGCTCATAAAAGGCGAAATGAGCATCCGACTATTTTCAAATATATCACATCTCAACATTTATATCAACACAAGATCAGGTGTGAAGATGGAATATTTCAGGCCACTCCTTCTGGTACCTTCCCCACAGAGGATCAACATTTTGAATACAATGCGAAATAAACATTAGATTCTCTTCATATTTAATACGTCTCAGTAATTTTATGAACCGTATAAGGTGAGATGAAAAAACTGCAACCAACTTCAGACTGCTGTCATTTCATTTTCAAGGAAAAAAGTTATTCGTGATGGAATTCAAGCGTGATAGTCTGATTTCTTTATATTTGGCTGGAAAACCACAAGTGGCTATCGTTAGAGCACTCCGGCATTTAAATGTGAATAACACATTTGTGTCTCGTACCATCGCTCGTTACCGTGATACTAGTAGCGTAGTCTGACGTCAAGGAAGTGGACGGAAGAAAACAGCAACATCAGCAGAAATGGTTCGAAAAGTAAAGAAACGACTTGATCGAAGCCCGCGCCGCAGTGGCTGTGAGAAAATGGCTCATGAGCTGAACATATCGTAATATTCCATTCGGAAAATATTGAAAAATGAGCTCGAGGTAAAGCCATTGAAATTCCAAAAAGCACAAGAACTTACACCGCAACAGAAAGAAATTAGACTTAAAGGAGCTAAAGAATTGGTTTTTTTTGTTTTTCTCCGCTCCGATGAGAAAATATTCGTTGTCCAGCAGTTTGTAAACGAACAAAATGGTCGTGTTTACTTGCCAAAGAGGTCAGCTGAAAATGTGCACCTTCGGTTGGCCACCAGAACTCAAGAGCCGGCCATAGTGATGGTGCGGGCCGCCTTCACAGCCGATCTCCGCTCGTATTTATTGTGGCATCAGAATAAAAACCGTATATTATCGCGAAAATATTCTGGATGGTGTATTAAAGATTATATTTGGCACGCAGATATTTTGGCGGCAGACCTTGAACATTCCAACAGGACTCAGCACCATCGCACTCAGCACGCGCCACCCAAGAATTGTTACAAAATGAGGTTCCTCGCTTCATTTCCAGCGCTCAATGGCCACCAAAATCTCCGGATACCAATCCGTTGGACTATTGTGTCTGGAGTATTTTGGAAAGCAAGGTTGGCACTAAAAAATACCAAAGTGTCGATCACCTCAAGCAAGGGCTTCGCCGGAAATGGACCAAAATACCGCAGAGCAACATTCGGGCAGCGTGTGACGGTTTCATTGGCCGTTTGAAGGTCATAATTCGTGCCAAAGGTGACCAATTTAAATAAATCTATACTTATTCTAAAATTTGATGCTATTAACATTTGGGTATGGCTCTATGTCATTATTTTAAAAACGAAATCTTCTTAAATAGATTTGTACATATGGGGCTTTCAACATATTGTAGTGTTGTATGTACATGGTCGGCCCCGCACGACTATAGCCTTTCCTTACTTGTTTATTAATATAGATATATAGATACTCTTAGTGTGTCTTTTATCTTATTAGGATGAAACTCATTATGACCATTTATGTAGAATTTTTAAATTTTGTTCCAACAATTTTTTCATGAAATTTACCGTTTTCGAGGAAATTTCGAATCATTCCTGAATAACTTATTTTGCTTTCATGGGTTCTATGGGGACTTTTGACACTTTATTTCTAATGGTTGGATCTAGCTCCATGAGATTTCAGCTTTGTGGTGCTTTTTGTAATTACAAGCTTTTTTGTCTACTTTGATAGGATTACAGCTTATTTCGCCGGGCTGAGTCGATTTACTCAGCCCGGCGAAATAGGAAGACAAATAGACAACATGGTGGGCCACAAACCAATATTTCGAGATGTCTCAAACTTCTGGGCCCCTTAATTCATGGTGTGGTAGGTAAAACATTTTTTTTCATGTTTTTTTTTAGGAATTAAAAAAATGTTTTATTTAACAAATACTATTTGTATATATATATATAAAAAAATCTTACAAAATCTTAATTATAAGTTAAAAACTAAAATGTCTCTCCGATTAAAATTTGCCGCCTCCGCCACCACCTCCGCCATTACCATTATGATGGGTATGGCCCGCAGAACTACCGGCAAATAGAGAGTGCGAGGCACCAGAGGCACCGCCGGAAGCGCCCAGCGAAGCATTCAATATTAGACTGACAACACTGCCAACAACATGGGACACCACATGTTTGATGAAGGCCGATGAGTCTGAGCCACCACCACCACCCTTTTCTCCACTATTTTTATGGCCATCTTTACGTTCCGCCGACTCCTCTTCCATTTTGCGATTTTTCGCTTCTATAAAACTGCTGAGAACATTTTGAAGGAATAGCAACGGCCGGGGAGGGACATCATCTTCTTCGGGGTCCTGTAAAGAAAATAAAATATTGGATTTGTAATAAATTTCCAAATAGTTTTTGAAAATAAATTGGAAATATGGAATTTGAAAGGTGGGGTTGCTAGGCATTAGTTTACTGCTAAAGAGTTAGTAGTGTTAACTTAAAATTGTATAAAATAGGAATCAATAAGTACAGCACTCAACGAAGCCACCACAGTTCCCAGGAAATTGCCAATGAATTGTCCATTGTTGATCTGGAATGAAAAATATTTAATGAAAATTTAAATTTCATTAAAAAGTAGGTACGTTGAAAACTTACAGCTCCTCCTCCGCCAGATAGGCCATCGAATACGGTGCCCACATAAATGCCCAAGACAGTACCAAAGTTTTTGTTACCCTATTTGTGGGAGAGACACATAAAACTATTGATCTTCGTTCAAATGTTTATTATTCGACTTTTGCCTTACCGCCAATAGACCAGAAATTAAGGAAGTGGCCGAACTCAAAAGGCTTTCAATATCCAAACCACCAGGCTGTAATAATACAAAATGTCAAACGTTTAGCATGGCATACAGAGAGAGAGAGAGAGAGAGAGAGAGAGGGAGAGAGAGCGAGTCATACTTACTCCAAACAGTTGCGAAATGACACCAGTCAAAGCTCCTATTAGCGCACCGATGTCAGAGCCTCCTTCGCCCTAAAAATGTTGGTGTTGTCATTTTGAATACATTTCCATTTCATTGGATTACTTACACCACTCAAACTGGTTATGATGCCCACCAGGCCACCCCCGCCACCGCCTCCGCCATTGCCATTATCCAACAGTTCGGGCGAACCTTCTTCCTGCTTGGCAAGAGTCGCATTGTCAGGGCTCCCGTTTACATCAGACAACGACAGCGACTCTGTCGCATTGCTGCTGCCTCTGGCCACAACTTTCTTTGCGGCTGTGCTGCCATTGCTGTTAGTTTCAATAACATTCTTTCTTAGACAAAAAATCGCATTACAATTTAGGTTTTTCTTTTGTGGTAGAGAGCGAATTACAACAACAAACAAACAAACAACTATTTACAACAATTTAGTGAGCTAAACGAATTGATTTGGTTAGTAATACCCCAACCTTTCAATGATGTCATGTCTACTTTTTTCTGGGTGTTACATAACTTACATTGGATGGTAGCAGAAGATTGTCCTCTTCACTGGAGTCACCATCGCCATCATCATCGTTGGCATCGCCTTTTTTATTGTCGTCACCATCACCATCTTCGTTTAGTACCAGATTATTGCGGAAATCATCCTGAAAATGTATGAACCGAAAGTTCGTGTCTTAAGTCTTTTGTTTTGCTACGATATTTGATACAGAAGGGGTCAACCTTCTCGAAAAGCTTTCAACAATTGAATAATCACAGTCTATGATCAATTTGATTTTAATTTTTAGATGAAATAAAGACTATGGGTGGATCGGAACCAAATTTCCTGAAATGGATTTTGGCCAATTGTGTGGAACCCTTATGTCAATAAAGCACGTATAACCCGTATTGTAGATCGATTTTTACGATGTGGAATATTTGAATCATTTCGAAAATTCAGATGGAACCCTTGTGAAAATTATCACATTATCAGAATATGAGAACCCATACTGTCATTCGTTTTGCGGTTTTTCTCTTATGACCTCAATTCGAAATTTTAAGGAGGCTACACAAAAATATATACCTGTTTTACTTATTTTGGGTGAGGTCATGTAATTTTTAATTCGGCTTGAATAAATGTAAATTTGTTGAGAAAATTATGAAAATCTCTAAAATTGACTAGATTTTTATACACTCCAACATAGCAAGGAAGTTATTAACCCTTTCAGTGTTTTTGTCAAATATATTTGACATTTAAAAGTACTCTCTTTCTTTGCCATTTTTTGTTTTTCTTACGAACCGTTATTTTTGATATTTTTAATAACAGACACGTTCGCTATTTAAAAATATTGCAGTTCTATTCTATTAGTTTCGTTTTCGAATTTCCGAGCACATTTTAGTAAATTAGTACGGAATTTCAGATTTTTATCTCGACAAAAATTTTCATTGACACTGAAAGGGTTAAAATTGTCATTCCGTTTGTAACACCTCGAAATATACATTTTATACCCTACAAAGTGTATATATTCTTGATCAGCGTAAAATTCTAAGTCGATTTAGCAATGTTCGTATGTCTGTTGTAATCACGCTATCTTTTGAACGAATTGAGATAGAAGGCTCTCTCTGTATTTTGCCAGTTGGCAGATTAAGTTCGTAAATGGGCCATGTAGACCCATGTTTTCATATAGCCCTCATAAAACGGTGCCTCCTAATATTCGGTATTTTGATGATTTCAACAACATTTTTAATCATATAACTATTACTCCTTATATTTGGTACTTTGATGATTTTGGCGGTATTATTTACCAGAATTGTTTCAAATTTCGTATTAGGTTACTACAGACTGTGGCAAAAAAAATACTTATGATTACTTAGGACCACGTCTTCGTATAGCCTCTTTATAAAGGTCATCATTTACAAGGCTTTTTTCAGAGTTCGTTCCTTCTAAATGATGGAGGGTATTAAATTCTCGGGCCGGCCGAACTTCGCTCCTTTTTACTTATTATTATTATTCAAATATTAACCCTTTGTCTGGAAGGTACCAGAAGGAGTGGGCCGATACGTACCATCTTTACAACCGATCTTGACTTCATAAAAATATTAGAGTCTGACGAGTTTGAAAGGGGTCGGATGCTCATTTCGCATTTTATGAGCCTCATGACTATTCACAATTATGACCCAATGTGGGAATGGGCTCTTATCTCATTTTTTATGAGAGTTATAATTATTAAAAATTTTAAACCTTCTGTACCAATGGTAGCAGTCCTATATATCCCATCTTCACACCAGATCTTCTGTTACATATACCAAGTTTGAACTTCGGGTTTTTTATACGAAGATCTTGTGGTCTTCTATGATAAGACCTTCTAATCTTCTTTTATACGACGACCTTGTGGTCTTCCATAAGAAGACCTTCTATGAGATGACTTTGTGGTTTTCTGTGAGAAGTCATTCTGGTCTTCTATACGAAGATCTTCTGTCCTTCTATACGAAGACCTTCTGATCTTCTATGATCCTCTATGATCATTTATACGAAGATCTTCTGTCCTTTTATACGAAGATCTTCTTTTATTTTATAGAAATACCTTCTGGTCTTCATAACGAAGACCTTCTGATTTTCTTTCTTCTATGAGAAGACCCTCAGCTCTTCCTCTCTTCTTTACGAAGGCCTTCTGGTCTCTATACGAAGACCTTCTGGTCTTCTATACGAAGGCCTTCTGGTCTTCTATACGAAGGCCTTCTGGTCTTCTATACGAAGACCTTCTGGTCTTCTATACGAAGACCTTCTGGTCTTCTATACGAAGACCTTCTGCTCTTCTATAAAAAGACCTTCTGCTCTTCTATGAGAAGACGCTCTGCTCTTCTACAAGAAGACCTTCTCCTCTTCTATGAGAAGACGCTCTGCTCTTCTATGAGAAGACGCTCTGCTCTTCTATGAGAAGACGCTCTGCTCTTCTATGAGAAGACGCTCTGCTCTTCTATGAGAAGACGCTCTGCTCTTCTATAAGAAGACCCTCCCATAGAGCCTTTTTATGACTTCCAAAAGGAAATTTGATTTTTAAGTGAAGTCATTCTTATCTTTTTCGAGAAAATCTAAAGGTCTTTTGGAAGCGTTATGTGATGAGACATTCTTGTATTCTATGAGAAGTTCAGTTGGTTTTTCATAAGGAGAAGACCTTTTGGTCTTCTAATAGTTTCTTAATGGTTTTCTTGTTGAGAAGATCTTCAGATCTTCGGCGAGAAGAAAATTTCTATGGCTTGTATTCACTCATTGGAAGAATTGGGTCTTCTAGGAGAGCGACTTCTACACTTTTTAAATAAGAAAAGCTTTTTCTCATTAATAAAAATATATTCTGTCCTGCTTTGTGCAAGAATTGAAGTAAGTTCTGGTATTTTATGAGAATGAATGAAAAATCAAAATTAAATTGCTTAATTCAAGCAAATCAGTATGGCAAATGTCAATATTAAACAGCGGAAAGTAACGCCACATGGGGATTATGTCAAGAGGGCATTCTGAATTTACAAAATTTGTCAAAATCGGTCCAGCCATTCTTGAGATATAAGCATTCTAACTAACATCCCCTTCCTTTGTAAATACACATTGTATATATTTCGCTTTATATATAATCGATATATTTACTATCGGCATCTACGTAACGGTCAGAATTGACCTGTTCGTCTATTTGTGATTTCGCTGGGATTAAAAATATTCGCGGTTTAACGGAAAATTTGACTTTTATTTTACACAAATGTTGTGGCCTATTTCACCCACTAAATATTACCCGATGACCAACAAAATTGGAAGGCTTCTGCCCTAAGCTCTAGCCCCATGCTAACTTCCGCTTTGATTGGCAAAATCAGGATTTTTTTTCAATTTTTGGTACATTTCAACCCCTAAATATTATGCAATTATCTCCAAAAGAAATAGGGTTCTATTCTGACCCTAGTCCCACCTCCATTCTAAATTTCTTGAAGATAATTGCGACCTGTAGAGTGATTACAAATTAACATGGACAGACGGGCGGACGGACCTACAAGCTAGATCCACTCAGCTCGGCGAGAAAGGAAGGTCCATATATACTTTCCTATGTGGGAAACCAATATTTCGAGGTGTTACATAATTTTTGGCCCAATCAAACTTATAATACCCCCACACTTAGTGTTGTAGGGTATAAAAATAAATAAAAACACAAGTAAAAAAAGCTGTAAGTTCGGCCGAGCGAAAAAAAACGCCACAATTTGGAACGAATTTTCAAAAAAACAAGTAAAAAAGTATCGGTCGGTTTTGCCGACAGATGTATACCCTCAGCCCTCTTCACCCTCTATGGAGTGGGTTTTGAAAGAATGGGTCAATATTGTTCATTTCGTATCGGACCTAAATAAATACGATATAAATATTATAATAGCAGATGGATAAATCAACTGTAAAGAATCGCTGAGTTGTTTCGCAATTTATGGCAGATAAAAATATTGAAAATTGTGTCCCTTTGTGGGTGAGGTACCAGCATGTGTTCGCAGATATATAGCATCTTCACAACAGATCTGGTGTTAGCAAAAATGCTTGTATGTGTGAAATTTGAAGAGAGTTGGATCCTTATTTCGTTTTCTTTGAGCGTTATGTCTTAAATTATATTATTGCTTACCTTTCTGTGCAGAAAATATATATTTTTAAAATTTCGACCATTTGTGGGGGAGGTACCAGAAGAAGTGGACCGATATACTCCATCTTTACACCAGACCTTGGACTAATAAAATGATTGGGATGTGTGAAATTTGAAGACAATCGGACTCTTACATCACATTTTATGAGAGTTGTAATTATTCAAAATTTTGACCATTTGTGGGGGAGGTACTTGAAGGAGTGAACCAATGTCGTCCATTTTCGTACCAGACCTAGCACTGATGCAAATATTACGACTTGCAAATTTGGAGCAAAATCGGATCATCGTTTCTCTTTCTGTGCAAAAAATATGTATTTTTTGAAAATTTCGACCATTTGTGGGGGAGGTACCAAAAGGAGTGGACGGATATATTCCATCTTAACACCAGACCTTGGTTTAATATAAATATTGGGATGTGTGAAATTTGAAGACAATCGGACTCGTACATCACATTTTATGAGAGTTGTAATTATTCAAAATTTTGACCATTTGTGGGGGAGGTACTTTATGTAGTGGACCGATATTGTCCATTTTCACACCTGATCGAGTACTGCCGCAAATATTAGGATTTGCAAAGTTGGAGCAAAATCGGATTATCCTTTCTCTTTCTGTGCAAAGAATAATTTTTTTGCAAATTCCAACTTTTTGTGGGGGAGGTACCAGAAGGAGTGGACCGATATTGCCCATCTCCGAACTCGATCTAAGTATGACAAAGATATTACGATGTACCAAGTTTGGACCAAATCGGATCCTCCCTTGGAGAGTTATCGTGCGCACCAGCCAGCCAGACAGACAGACAGACAGACGGACGGACGGACGGACGGACGGACGGACATCTCTAGATCGACTCCAAATGTTCTGAAACGGATTTGGTCCAAAGAGACCTAGGGTCTAAAACCGTTATTTCGACTAGGCACGTTTTGACCGTATCAAATGATATATACCCTCTGTAGCCATATGGCTGAGGGTATAATAAAATCCGTTAAAAATTCTGGTAAAATCTTAAAAATGCCAAATGTAGCCGTCTTTGGGCCTATACGACGACGTGGACCTGCATGTTTGTCATAAGCCATTAAAATATTCACATGCGAAACTTGAAAAATGAGATAAAATCATCAAAATACCGAATATCGGGAAGTACCACTATATGGGGCTATACCAAAACGTGAACCTGAACAGACAATTTTCTGCCTTAGGCTGCATTATCCATTACGAACTTCAAATACCAAATTTGAAACAATTTCGATGAATAATGTAGATAAAATCATCAAAATATCGAACATGGGGGCTATACGTTATATGGAGGCTATACGAAGACGAGGACCTGCACAGGCAATCTCCTGTCAAGGCTGTAGTATCCATTACGAACTTCAGATGCCAAATTTGAAAAAAATCCTGTGAATAATGTCGCTAAAGTCATCAAATTATCGAATATCGGGAGGTACCGTTATATGAGGGCTATACCACAACGTGAACTTACATGGCCCATTTTCAATCCGAAAAGTCCTGCAGATATAATACACATTTGAGTTAAATTGTATCAATCTACTTCATTTCGTTCGGAAGCTAGAGTGATTTCCACAAATCGACATAGAATTTTATGCTGAACAAGAAACTTAATATACCCTCCATACTATGGTGCAGGGTATAAAAATAGGAAGTTTTTTTCCAATCACTGGAGTTTTTAAACAAACTACTACGTTAAAAACTGAACATAAAATAGGCTGATCTCCATATAGTTATGTAACAAACAAGTATATAAATATCTTTTAATCGACTTAAATGTTTGTACTGGTCAAATACTTGGAGATTTTTGAGATTATGGTGGTATGTTACACACATTTTCAGATTTCAAGACTTCAGGAAACAGTTAAAAGTAACTTATATATTCTTGAAAATCCCACATCAGCATGTTTATCGGACTAAAATTATTTTGTTTTCATATTTCAGATACTGCCAAGTTTCGACATTGTCCAACCCCAAAAGGTAGGTATAGCACAATATCTATATTTTGTACTTAATTTGACTCAGACATTTCCTTGCGTCTAATGGCAGGACCGTTGCCCAACTCAAATCATAACTCAAAGGGTTGAGTTTTCAGAAAATCCATACATATATGTATTTTCTAATTTGTCTTACCTCAGTTAGAATCGATTTAATTTGTCTTATCTGAGCCGGTTCTTCTTGATCCACATGACGTTTACGCACAATTTTCGTACTGGCCTTGGCCAGAACACCATCATTATCGGCATGTTCAATTAAATAATCCAAAGTATTATCGATTTTATCATCCACAACATGTTTCATCAGATTCATTTGCTGTAGAATATGTTTCCTCAGTTGTGACACCTTTTTACCCACACTATTTTCATCACTATCCGACGCGGTGGCCGACTCCTTATCTTTTAAACTTGCCGCAATATCTCGGATTTCTTTGTGAAAAGTTTTAACATCTTTCGTTTTCATGGCCAAGTCCATAGATTTCGTTAGAATCTCCAATGCTTTTTTATCACGATTTAATTGTTCTTCGATTTTTTCAATTTTTGGCAAAACCATTTCTTGATTGTTCACATTCGTGTTGAGCAACAAATCCTTGACCTCTTCGATGAGATGGCGTTCCATTTGTTGCTCTGCCTCTTTGGCACCGTTCAAAATACCAATTGTCGTTATGGCCCGCAGATCTTCACGTGGTAATTTCGATTCAAGTTTCTTATAGGCCGCCATTGCTTTTAAGTAATAAGGATTCAATTTGGCTTGTAAGGATTTTTGCACGGGCGCGGATTTGATTATATCGGCACATATTATCAGCGTTGCAAATGTGAGAGCTATGCACGGTTTACGCATCGTAATTTGTTAAATTGAATAAGTTTTCCGTAAGTGTTTTTTTTATTGTCAACTACTGTTCAATTGAATTTTCCACCGCAGACTATTTTCTTGAGGGCATTTCCTCAGGTCTTTATAGCAAATATGGTTGATTGCAGATGGCTTGATAGCCATTGTAGTGGGCGTATCTCGTCGAATTTTATGCTTTTGATTTTCAATATTTAATTTTGGTTTCAATTCAATTGTCTCATTGTGGAAATATTAAGTGCTACATATATTCCGATTTGTCAACTGCATGAATGAATTACATTGACAGTGGTTATAAATCGGAAAATTAAAAAATTACTTGAGTCGAACTTCGACAGTTTCTGGTGTTTAATTCGCATATACGTAATCGCAATAAGTTCGAAATAAATACTTCTTTCTAGGGAATGGCCTTTGTAAACCATCATCCACGCCAAATATGTCTGATGAGCCGCTTAACCGTCCGTCTGTAGAAATCACTCTAGCTTCCGAACGAATTGAAGTAGATTGATAAAGTTTTGCTCAAATGTTTGTTATGTCTGCAGGACTTTTGGTATTGAAAATGACCCATGGAGGTCTACGTTTTGGTATAGCCTCCATATAACGGTACATCCCGATATTCGGCATTTTGAACTTTTTTACTAGTTTTTATTTGTTGATTAATTCAAAATTTCGAATAATTTTCTGGTTATTTAATAGCTAAAGGGGACATCCCATTAAAATCCTCGATAGATTTTAATAGGATTCCCCAGCATATGGGCTGAAACCAGATCTTATATTGCAAGCAATGTAGACAATCGGACTAACATTCCAAATTTTACGAGAATTATGATCCTTTAAAATTTTGAGTGATCCTATGTTACACATTTTTGGACCTAATCTTAGTCTGATGTATATATTACGTCATCCAAAATTGGATACTCTTGACGATTATTATCAGCCTAATATTCTTTCGAGATCTTGGGATTTTGAGGCGAGTTACTAAAAAGGAGTCGATCTATATGGCCCATCTTCTCTCTATACATAGTGCCGATAGAAATATTTTATTATGCATTACAGGGTGACATAAAAAACTGCAACAAAGTCAATTTTAAATTTTATTGAATTAAAGCAAAAAATGTCTGAAATAGCATCAAATTTTAGAATAAGTTTAGATTTGTTCGAATTGATCACCTTTGGTACGAATTATGACCTTCAAACGGCCAATGAAACCCTCACACGCTGCCCGAATTTTGCTCTGCGATATTTTGGCCTATTCCCCGCAAAGCGCTTTCTTGAGGTGATCGACACTTTGGTATTTTTTAGTACCAACCTTGCTTTCCAAAATACTCCAGACACAATAGTCCAACGGATTGGTATCCAGAGAATTTGGTGGTCACTGTGCGCTGGAAATGAAGCGAGCAACCTCATTTTGTAACCATTCTTGGGTGGCGCTTGGTGGCGTCCTGTTGAAATGTCCAATGACTGCGGCCAAAATGACTGCGTGCCCAGAATATTTTCGCGATAACATTAGACATTTATTCTGATGCCAAGGCCGATTAATACGAGCGGAGAGCGACCATCGGCTGTTAGGGCGGCCCACACCATCACCATGGCCGCCGCTTGAGTTCTGGTGGCCAACCGAAAGTGCACATTTCAGCTGACCTCTTTGGCAGGTAAACAAACTGCTGGACAACGAATGTTTTCTCATCGGAGCGGAGAAATCCAAATTCGGCAGTTCACCACTTTCGGCCAAGCGGAGCAACTCTTTAGCTCTTTTGGGTATATTTTCTTTCTGTTGCGGTATAAGTTCTTGCACTTTTTCAATGGCTTTATCCCGAGCTCATTTTCAACATTTGCCGAATCGAATATTGCGATATGTTCAGCTCACGAGCCATTTTTCGGCCACTGCGACGCAGGTTTCGATCAAGTCGCTTTTTTACTTTTCAAACCATTTCTGCTGATGTTGCTGCTTTCTTCCGTCCACTTCTTTGACGTCGGGCTACGCTATCAGTATCACGAGCGATGGTAGGAGACACAAAAGACTTATTCACATTTAAATGATGGAGTGCTGGACAATATAATGAGCTATCACTGGAATAATTTTAACAGCTTTCGGACGACTGGCTTAGAAATGACAGAAGTCTGAAGTTGGTTGCAGTTTTTTCATCTCACCCTGTAGTTCTCCTAAAGGAAAGCTATTAAAGAACTTATTTCTATATAATTATCTTTTCTCCATTTTTAAAATATTAAAAAGGTAATTTGAGTCAGGAAGACGCCTAAAAAATCCCGTGGTTTTTGAAGGCTTTTTAAAGTTATGTTATGTTATGTTTCTATAAGACCTTTCGAACTATTTGTCTCTATGACCATTTTTTGTTTTTTCTTTCTAGAATACTTCTGTCTCATGAAGATCTTTTAAAGAGTAACAGTTTTCTATCACTAGTCTTCTGCTTTACGAGGAACTTTTAAAGGTTTTCTACCTCTTAAGATTATTAAAATGTCCTCTATATTAAGAAAACTAAAAGAATAGTGCCTTTCAAAGAGCTCTAGGTACAGACGACCTTTAAACGGTTCTGTGGTGTCATTTGAAAGGACTTTTGTTGTCATAGGGTCTCAATGAGATTTTGGGATCCTAAAAAAGGTCTTCCATGTTAATAAGAACTTGTGGATGTCTTCTGACCGGGAAAACAGTCTTTTAAAGGACTCCTGTTCAAGAAAATATTTTAAAGGTCTTCCATCCCTAAAAGATTTTTGAAGATCCTCTAGAAGACTTTGAAAGATTTTTCCCTTCTAAAGGCCTTATAAACATCTTAAGGGTCTTCTGCTTCTAGAGCACCTTTAAGAGGTCCTTTGCTTATAAAAATCCTTTAAAAAAGCTGTCCAAGAAAACTTTTTTAAGGTCTTTGTTTCTAAAAGATTTTTTAAGATCCTCTTAAAGACTTGGGAAGATTTTTACCTTCTAAAGGCCTTAAAGAAACTTCTCCTGTCTTCAGAAAATCCCATAATATATTTTGCTTGGCCCAAAAACAAGCTCTATTAGAATTAGTGATAATCTTTTACATCCTACCATGTATCTTCAACCGATTTCACATATATTGCCCACCAAAGCCGCAATATACAATTCTAACAATAATATTCGGTTATATATATTCGGATAATATCTGTCAACTCTAACAAGTACCTACCCTCAAAGGGTCAAAATTTTGAATAATTGTAACTCGTATAAAATATGATGTAAGAGTCTGATTATTTTAAAATACAAGCATCACAATATTTTTACTAACCCAGGGTCTGGTGTGAAGATGGAATATATTGGTCCACTCCTTCTGGTACCTCCCCCACAAAAGTTCAAAATTTTGAATACCCATTAAGCTCATAAAATGCGAAATTAACATTCGATACCATTCAGACTTGGTACATCTTAATATTTTCATCAACACCAGATCTGTTATAAAGATGGTAGAGGTCCGATCACTTCTTCTGGTACCTCCCCAAAAATGACTATAAAATCTGAAATAAGCATCCGTTTCTCTTAATATTTCACACATCAAAATATTTTTATTAATCCATGGTCTGCTGTGAAGATGGGATATATCGGTCCACTCCATCTAATACCTCCCCCACAAAAGGGTCAATATTTTCAATATCCATGAAGGTCATAAAACGCGAAATTAATATCCAATTCCATTCATACTTGGTATATCTCAATATTTCTACCAGTACAAGACCTATTATAAAGGTGGTAGGTATCGGTATCTGGTACCTCGCTCACAATGGGTTCGATATTTTGAAAAACAAAACTCTTAAAGAAGCCTGAGATTAATACGGAATGTATGATTTCGCATAAAATTGGATCTAAATGCTCGATTGTTTTTCAATATTTTTTTTCTGTATTAGATGAAGTATGAAAATGGAATACTTCGGTTGACTAAATATGGTACTTTACGCACATTTTGAAATTTTTAATATAGTCCAAACCTGGCACGTCTCAGTATTTATATCTATTGGCCCATTCCTTCGGAACCTATTCTATAGAGGGTTGAATATTTGTATAATCATAACAGAAGTCGAAATATATTTAAATAATCGACCATTAGCTGAAGGTAAAAATCTGATACTTTTTAACACGCTTCCCGAACTTGTGGGTAAAAATTTCCGAAATATCCTTTCTATTGTGAATATTTTTAATGCTGAAGGTGGCTTCAAGAATTGGTGACATATTTTTTATACATAAATATATAATAAAATATAAGTCCATTTCCTCGAAACTTCCCATGAACGCTTGGGTACAGTACAAGAAAATTAGCCTTGGACCAATTCTAGCCTTCGTTTTTTTGGGTTTTTTTTTCGTTTTTCATATCCACTGTACATTCTTCGCTAATAATCTATATTTATGTATTATGACTTTATCGACGACTAACATGACATACAGTCTGAAGATGAGCCCGCAATTTGCAAAATTTTTGCCAGCAACAAATTAAACGTTCATGTCCGCATATCTTGGCCAAAACCTCCTACGGAAATGTCTGATCGTTCTGCTGTAAATAAATGTTCATTTCCTTTTTTGTGACCACGAATAGCTAATGGAGTAATGGTTGTAAGCGAAGATGTAACAGTGCATAGTTCAGTCAACAATAACAACAACATAAAATCATCAGCTAGCTCATTGGGAGCTTGTAAATGGTATTTTGGGTCTGCTACATTATTTCACATAGACATTCGCTTCGTTACGCTTATTTAAATATTCAAGTGCATTTTATAGTTGCTCTGACTTCCATATTGGATTTGAAGTAACATCATCAACGTCGTCCACCAGTGTTCTCCGGTCTCTCTGTGTTAGTGTGTGTGTGTTGTCGAGTTTTGTTTGTCTGGAGAAGGAATTGAAAAATGTTTGAATTGAATGGTTGGTTGGTTGGCTGAGATATGACATAACTTTCTTAGGTCGTTTTATGTAAAAAAAAAAATAGAAAAACATACATACATTTATTCATTCATACTTACGTATGTATGTATATAGG